TGCTCCTCTTCCACTCTATTAAAATGGGCCCTTTTTTAAACCTTTTAAAAGCAATAAAAACTTCCCCACCTTTTCCCAAATAAAAAAAAAACATATATGCTTCAATGTAAACCCCTTGATCTTCCACCCCTTTCCCCCTTGAAGCCTCCTTTTCATCCGAAATTTTTACATTCTGTCTTACCTCAAATTTTTTCCAAAATTTTAATTTACCCGTATACTTTTCCTGGTATTTTTCGGTTTTACTTATTCCTCTATTTAAATTTTTGTCTCTTTTGGTCCCCTTTCCTTTTTTAAAAGGGGGTTTACTCTCTCCCCCAATCCCAGGTACCTTCCCCCCTTTCATACAATTTTTTTAAAAAAAAGGGACCCAACCCCTCCAACACTTTATCCCCCCCCGCTTTTAAAATTTTTGTCATGATCCCCCCCCCCTCCCCCCCGTTTTAAATGCTTTACCCCCTTTTTTCTACGTAATTTCCCCACGTACCTTCCCACACTTAAAATTTTTTATTCTTCACTCCCAAAAAATGGTTTTACCTCCCCGGCAAATGCATTTAAATTACCACCTCCCTTTTTCCTCAAAATTTAAAAGGGCCCCAAAATATTTTCGCCATCTACCTTTTAAAACCTCCTTTTCCCCATTGCTAAAACCCCCACTCTGTTTTTAACGGACAAAAAATTTTTCCCTACTTTCCCCAGGCTTTTTAAATTTTTTAACTTTACTTCCCCCAAAAAAAAAAATTTTTTCTTATTTTCATTTTAAAAATTTTTTGACAGTGCCTCTCCCACTCTTTTCAAACTACTCTCCTTTTTCATTCTCTCCCCCACTAATTCACCTTTTTTTTTAATCTCCATTTTTCTCTGCTCTTTTTATAACACTTTTTTCTTTGTAAAAACCCCTCAAAGTTTCCTTTTTTTTTTCTTTTATCAACCCTTTTCTTCATTTATTTTCCCCCAATCACTCCTCTTTCCCCCTGCCCCACCCTTTCCCATAAAAACCACAAATCCCCAAACCCTCCAAAAACTTTAACCTCCCCCCGCTTTTAACATTTCTGTCATGTTCCCCTCAGTTCCCGCGGGTTTACCCCCCCTTTCATTCTACATAATGCCTCCCGCACCCCGCATCCCGTTCTTCTTCACCCCCTAAAAAAATGGTATACCTCCCTGGGCCCCGTGCATGAAAAAACCCTTTCCCTTTCTTTGTCGACATTTAAAAGTTTCCCCAAAAAAATTTTTTTCCAAACTACCCAAAACCTCCCTCTCCCCATCTAATAAAATCCCCTACTCGTTTTTAAATGACAAATCCCTTCGTTTTTCTAGGTTTTCTTTAAATTTTTTTAAATTGCTGCCCAAAATTCCCTTTTTTTATTTTCATTTAAAATTTTCCTTGAAGTGTCTCTCCCACCCCTATCATTGCTCTCCCTTTTTCACTCTTCACCACTCTCTTCACCTTTCTTTTACTTTTCCCATTAAATTCTCTTCTTATAAAAACTTCTGCTTTGTTAAAAAAAAATTTTATAAATAACTTTCTCTCTCTTTTTTACACCCCTTTTCTTTCATTCCCCAATTTATCCTTTTTTCCCCCTGCACCCCCCATCCTATAATCACAAACTTCTGCCCCCATTATAATACTGCTTTTTTTAAAAATTTCCCCAAAACTATTACCCCCATTAAAAAAATCGTTAAAGAAACGATTGCAAATAAACCCTACCCCCCGGCCCGGGTTTTAACCCGCGGCATAGGGGGTCTCAAAAAATCCCCGTCGCCCTTAGCCCCCTAGACCCGCTAAACCACAAAAAAGATTTATCCAAATAGGGATATTTCTACACCATTTGGGGGGTTAGCACAGGCCCCCTTTTGACCCCAAATTCAACGCTTGTGGCTAACGCGCGGGGTGGAGTTTTGGACTCTTTGACCGCGGGTTTTAATTTCCCGGGGCCCGGGGGGGTTTTTTTTATTTGCAATCGTTTTCATTTTCCGGGTTTCTTAAGTCATGTTTACGGCAGTGAAGGGATTGAGCTAGAGGGTTTGTCACGGCCACGCTAGCTGGAGATTCGTCCCGTAAAAATTTTCATTTGTGGTCACAGAAGGGGCCTGTGCTAACCTTTCCCATGGGTGTAGAAATATACCTAGTTGGATGAATCTTATTGTGGCTAGCTGGTCTAGTGGCTAACGAGACGGGCTGGAGTTTTGAGACTCTATGACCGCGGGTTCAATCCCAGCCGGGGGTATGGTTGACTCTTCACCCCCCCGCCCCCACTACTCAGACTTGCACCAGCCCACCTTTCTGCCAATAGTTGCTTATATCTCACCCGAACTTCCTCCTTACTAATTTATGCACTTTCACCTCCCTCTTGCTTGTTGTTGCCATTTTCCTTTTTTCCCATCTACCTCTTACTCTAACTGTAGCTACAACTAAATAATGATCCGATATATCAGTTGCCCCTCTATAAACGTGTACATCCTGGAGCCTACCCATCAACCTTTTATCCACCAATGCATAATCTAACAAACTACTCTCATTACGTGCTATATCATGCCTTGTATATTTATTCTCCTCTTCATAAAATATGTATTACTTATTACCAAACCTCTTTCTACACACAGCTCAATTAAAGGCTCCCCATTTTCATTTACCCCTGGCACCCCAGATTTACCTACTACTCTCTCCACAACATTTTTGCCCACTTAAGCATTGAAATCCTCAACCACCATTACTCTCACACTTGGTTCAAAACTCCCCATGCATTCACTCAACATTTCCCAAAATCTGTCTCTCTCTCTCTCTCTACACTTCTCCCTTCTCCAGGTGCAGATAAGCTTACTATAACCCACTTTTCACATCCAACCTTTATTTTACTCCACATAATCCTTGAATTAATACATTTGTAGTCCCTCTTTTTCCTGCCATAACTTATCCTTCAACATTATTGCTACTCCTTCTCTCGCTCTAACTCTATTTGAAACCTCTGACCTAACCCCATTTCCTCTCCACTGAAACTCTCCCACCCCCTTCAGCTTTGTTTCACTTAAAGCTAGGACATCCAGCTGCTTCTCGTTCATAACATCCCAATCATCTCTCTTATCATTTGCACAACATCCATGCACATTCAGACTTCCCACTTTGACAATTTTCTTATTCTTTTTAGTAATTATTACAGGAAAAGGGGTTATTAGCCCATTGTTCCTGGCATTTTAGTTGACTTTTACAACATGCATGGCTTACAGAGGAAATATTCTTATTCCACTTCCCCATGGATATAAAAAGGAAAAGTAATAAGACCAAGAACTATTAAGATAAAATCAAAGAAAACTCAGATGAGTGTGTATAAACATGTACATGTATGTGTAGTGTGACCTAAGTGTAAGTAGAAGTAGCAAGACGTACCTGTAATCTTGCATATTTATGAGACAGACAAAAGACACCAGCAATCCTTCCATCATGTAAAACAATTACAGGCTTTAGTTTCACACTCACTTGGCAGGACGGTAGTACCTCCCTGGGTAGTTGCTGTCTACCAACTTACTACTACTATTGTAGAGACATTAGCGTCATATTGAAGCATAATAAACTTGCCCTCCTCTTGCCTCCTACGTATCTGTCATACACCAAGTCAATAAAGGTAAGTGTGATGTTGAATGTTCATTTATCCATTTTATTAGTGCTTTATATTTATTTGTCATTGTTTTCTGTATATATATTTATATTTTAATCTTTAAAAAAAATTATTTTTTGTTAATACTTTTGGCTCTGAAACGGATTAATTGGATTTCCATTATTTCTTATGGGGAAATTAATTCGACTAATGGCTAATTCAACTATAGGCTAGCTCTCTGGAACGGATTAAAGCCGTCGGTTGAGGGTCCACTGTATAGGGAAAGCAGAGAAGAGGAGATTTCACAGGATTAGAGAGTTTGGGAGAGAGAAAAGTCCGTTTAGCTTCCGAGATGGCAGTTTATGAAATCGGAAGAGTGGCAAAGACGAGGGAATGAATTACAGTGAAAAATTCCAATTCAGGGAACTGAGGGTCACAAATACAGAGGGCATGTAGAGAGATAGAGAAATAAGAACACTTTCTTGAACAGAGCATGGTCAGAAAAGTAGTGAATGTACATGCCACTGTGCATAAGCTTGCGATAAACGGTAAAAGACAAACTTGTAGCCTATCAGTGGACACATCCATTAAGGAAAGGGACAAAGATTTATATTTCCTTTACCTTTCCCATTTCTTTCTTTGTTTTCCTTTCTTCTGCCTAAGTGTTTTCTCTCCTTCATTTTTCTCCCCTTGTTTTTGGTTCTACCCTTGTGGGCTCTTAGCCCTCCTGCAGTGTTCCTTTTTCTTGTCCTTAGACTTATCCCACTTCTATTACATCTGTGACTACCGCTATTGCTACTATCACTACTATTGCCTCCCTTCACCCTTCTCTTCCATTTCTATCTCTTGTGCCATTAAATCTACTCTCCCTACTACTTCCACTATCAGCTTTATTATTCCACCACTACTATTTTCTCTTTTTGTCCCATCCCTGTCCCCCTTGCTATATATGCTGACTCCCTCACTCTTTTGTGTTAAATGTGACTTTGTAAATGGTTCAAGTCTGACCAAAACGTCATCGTAGGCTTCTCTCTCTTATGTGTGGTGTAATTTTTTCACATCTTATCAAAGAATAGTCACCCACAAACTATACATGGTAGTTTTCTATGTGGTAGTAAATATATTTTATTCACATTTTATATTTGCTTTCTGTAGTAGTTAATTCCTTTAGTTATTTAAATTATTAAATGTTTCTCAGGGTTTAGTGCTCTCTTAAGTCTCTGATTCCTTATTTCCTCTGGCAATGTGTTGGAAGACATCTTTGTTTTTCGATCACTTACATTGTCATTTTTTCTTTTCTCTGGTTTATCTTGTTGCCCTATTTTTATTACATTAAATTTATTTTTTTTGTGTAGATTAGCTTGTGATTTTTGCCAATTCATATAACTTAATTTTCTCCACAGGAAGCCTTTATTCCAAAGGAAATCCTGATGTGCCATATGTGTGATGTGGATAACTTCTACTCAATCAATGTAAGTTCGATTATCGTAAGTCACATAATTGCTATTATTTCCAATTTGTATATGTTATCATTCATGTTTAATCTTTCATTGAAGCTTGGATAGCATAAAATATTTATGCACGTCAACTGGAAAATGTTGTTTGCTTAACCCTTTGACTGTTTTGGTTGTATACATACTGTCTTACGAGCTATTGTTTTCGACGATAAATTCTAGTGGCTTCAAATCAAGCAGGAGAAAGCTGGTAGGCCCACATGTGAGAAAATGGGTCTGTGTGGTCAGTGTGTACCATATAAAAAAAATCCTGCAGCACACAGTGTATAATGAGAAAAAAAACTCTGACCTTTTTTTTTTTTTAATTAAAATGCCGACTTTGTGGTCTATATTTTTGTATGGTATTTATGCTTGTATTCTCGTTTTCTTGGTCTCATTTAATAGAATGGGAAACATATTATAGAAATAGAGGTGATTTTGATTGGTTTTACTATGAAAAGAACCTTGAAATGGAGCTCAAAATAGGGGAAATGTTTGATTTTTGCTGATGTTCAAAAGTAAACAGATGATACCATTGTCCAATAAATGTCCAACTAGCCATTCTAATATGCAGTCATGAATGGGTTGACATTATTTATACAATTATTACAATATTGCAGTAGTCTGCATAACAATAAATCTTATATTTTTTGTTTGAATAAAAATTCAAAATAGAAAGCAAGAGTAATATCAGAGGGGCCTGGAGACATGGCTGATGAACAAAGAAAATGTTATTTTAGAGCCAGGAATGTCTGCATTGTTCATTCTGGACCCTATTTTGAAATTGTCATGTTTTTTAATTTTCATGAAATTGGCCAAATTGCAAATTTCTGACCACGTTATTGGGTCATTGAAATTGGGATATGGACAGTTTCTTGTACTCAGTCGATAGAAAAAGTGGAGTTCTAAAGAAATAGCTATGAGTTTGGTCGACTGGAACAACGTAATTAGCCGAAAATAGGACTCAAAGTGGGTGAAAACGCCGATTCGTAAATATCGCTAAGGTCGCTAACTTTGTGAGAGCGTAATTCCGTCAGTTTTCCATCAAATTTCGTTCATTTGGTGTCATTACCATAGGGAAAAGATTCTCTATCATTTCATAAGAATTTTTTTTTTTAATTTTTGCAACACGAGGAGACACCTCAGGATTTGGGGTTGCGACAGTCAAGGGGTTAATGGTACTCTTAATGGTACACTCTTGATGGTACACCTAGTTTGTGTTTATGTATGATTTCCTGCTTTAATTCCATGGAAATCGTCATTTTCTTCTCAGCACTCTTCTTTGCACTTGCTTTCGTAGGACCCGTGGCTAGGAAGAAGAATTTCACAAAATAACTGCACGAAACGTAAGAAAAACACATGATTTCCCTCCCTTCCTGAGCAGCTATGTTTTGATAAACACTGCCATCTTGTGGTGGTGAGCTGAAACTCTCAGTATTATTATCATAATTACTTATTATTTAGTAGTATGTACGTATTCTTATGATAATTTATATTATATTACATATATAATTATTATATTATACATATTATTATTATTAGTAGTAGTAGTAGTATGTATGTATTCCTATAATAATACTCTTGCTTAACATTTGTAATTTTTATTTGACAAAAAATAGAATATTTACTGTTATGCACACTACTGCATTATTGTAATAATTGTACAAATAATGTCAACCCATTCATGAATGCATATTGGAATGGCCACTTGGTGACGTCATTTGTTTACTCTTGAACATCGTCAAAAATCAAAACATTTCCACTACTTTGAGCTCAATTTTTCGTTGTGAAAGCAATCAAAATCATATCTGTTTCTGTAATGTATCTTCCATTCTATCAACTGAGACCAAAAAAACGAGAATACAACCATAAAAACCATACGAAATTATACCGCTAAAGGCTGGCTAATAGCTGAGAAGTGAACTCTGTGATTTACAGTCAGATTTCTTTCAGTTTTGGTGTACATTAAGAAACCTCTTTCCATCATACATTGCCCAAGTTTCAATAAGATTGTCTAACAAACAAATAAAATCAAATTCCCTAGATCAAGAGCAAGAGCCCCTCACCAGCGTCAAGGAACCTCCCTTGAGGCCTGCTCGCATCTAGAAATTTCGCTTGCCCATGGAAGCAAACAATCAACTGATCAACTGCTCGTATCTGGAAAAACTCACACGGGGATGCGCTCCTTAGTAGAGGTTCCACTGTACTTCTAGACAATAGTATGTGACTAAGGCAGGTGAAAATGTTCACCTGTCATTGTGACTATTTGAGTACTATTTCAGTACCTAATATTAATGTCAGAACAAAGATTGGCTATGAAATCACAAAAACTGCTACAAACTGTGATTATCAGAACATAAAAATTATATAAATTAAAAAAAAAAAAGTATCAACACCATTTCTGCAAGCGACGGGACTCCATAGTGTCATTAGGTGAGCATCCAGCGGCAACTTCCTGGCCTTATATCTCGGTTTTTTTTTTCTTATTACACACAGAAAATTGCCCTTTTTAATTTTTTTTTTCCAAAATATTTTGAGCACTGACAGTGAAAATGTAGAGGTACGTTTGGACAATTAACAGGTTAATTAGATTATTTTACTCTGTTCATTTTAATTTTATTCTTTGGTAATGTGTGTATTTTAACCTTCTTGCTTAACCCTTTCAGGGTCCCCACGCCCTCTCCGAGACTTGTTCTCAGGGTCTCCAAATTTAAAAAAAAAAAAAAAAATTCTTATGAAAAGATAGAGAATGTTTTCCCGATCATAATGACATCAAATGTATGAAATTTGATGATAAACTTACGGAATTATGCTCTCGTGAAGTTAGTGGTCTCAACGATGTTTACGCATTGGCGATTTTGCCCACTTTGAGTCCTATTTTCGGCCAATTCCAGTGTACTAGTCGACAAAAATCATAACTATTTCACTAGAACTCCATTTTTTCTATCGAATGAATACAAGAAACCACCCATTTACCGATTTCAACTATTCAATAAAGTGGTCAGAATTTAGCAATTTTGCCAATTTCACACAAATTTCAAAAGATGCCAATTTCCAAATAGGGTCCAGAATAAACAAAGACATTCCTGGCACTAAAATAACATTTTCTCTGTTCATTAGTCACGTCCCCATGCCCCTCTTACATTCTTTTGCTTTCCACTTTGAATTTTTATTCTCACAAAAAATACAAGATTTACTGTTATGCAGACTACTGCATTAGTGTAGAAATGGTATAAATAATATCAGTGCACATGTGAAAGAATATTAGACTTACCAGTTGACGTGTATTGGATGCTTGGCATGAGTTGTTTACTTTTGAACTTTGGTAAAAATTGAACATTTCTGCTACTTTGAGCTCAGTTTCAAGGTACTTTTCATTGTAAAACCAGTCAAAATCATCTCAATTTCTGTAATATCTCTTCCATTCTATAAAAAGAGACCAGGAAAACTAGAATACAACAATAAATACCATACGAAAATACAGTGCAATGTCGCTGTTTTAATCCAAAAACACGGTCGAAGTTTTTTTTTTTCTCGTTACGCACTGTGTTGCAGGATTTCTTTTATACTGTGCACACTGACCACGTAGACCCATTCTTTCATATGTAGGCCTACCAGCTTTCTCTCGTTAGATTTGAGGGCGCTAGAATTTAGGCGTACTAGTACGTCAAAAACCCTGGTGAGTAAGCCACACTAGTATGTCTGAAACCATGAAAGGGTTAACCCTTTCAGGGTCCAGAGCCCTGATCTAAAACTACTCCACAGGGTTGAAGATTTTTCTGGAAAAAAAAAAAAAATCTTATGAAATGGTAGAGAATCTTTTTCTGAAGGTAATATAACAAAAGGTAAAAAAATTGATGGAAAAGTTATGAAATTATGTTATCACGAATTTTGCCGTGTCACCGATTTTTCATGTCAGTGATTTTTTCCCACATTGAGTCCAATTTGAGGCCAATGACATTATTCCAGTCAAAATTCTTAACTACGTATTTTGCTAGTATGTCTTCTATTTTATGGAATGAGCTCAAGAAACTGTCCAATCAACTATTTCGACTACCTAATAAAGTGATCAGAAATTGGTGATTTGGCCAATTTCACACAATTTCAAAATATTTCAATTGCAAACAAAATTGGCCCAGAATAAACAATGCAGGCATTCTTGGCACTAAAATAACATTTCCTCTGTTTATTAGTTGTTTCTAGGCTTTACACATGAATTTCATTTTTAATTTTTATTCATACAAAGAATTTTTATTCACACACACACAAAAAAAAGAATTACTGTTATGCAATATTGTAATAATTATATAAAAAATATCAGAGCATTCAAAAAAGATTTTGACCCCCCCTTTTGAAATGATTGGATGGTGTTGATTTGTTTACTTTTTAAAATTTGGCAAAAATAAATTTTGTGATATTTTAGTTCGTTTCAACTATTTTCGTCTTGACCAATTAATCTTCTCTCTTTTTAAAATATTCTTACAATTTCTCAAGCGAGCCCAAGAAACAATAAAATTAAAACCATAAAAACCATAGAAAATATACTGAAAAAGTGCTTTTTAAAATCTTGATGTTTTGGTGTATTAAGTGGACCCCCGGGGTTGCGATATTAATCCGTTCCTAGACTCATGAAAACCAAAATTATGGGGAAAGGAACATTTTCCCCAAAAAATAAGGGAAATCAAATTAACCCGTGCAAGCACCAAAAAGTATAAAAAAAAAATTTTAAAACCCACATGAATTTTAAGTTTAATGCAATAGAATAATTACAATAACATTAAATAAAACAAGAATAATGACATTACCTTTAATGAAGATTGGTGGATTGATGGGATGGGGGGAGGGGGGGGTTGTTAAAACCTATTGTTTAAAAGGGGAACCCCCTTCTTAGGACTTGGGGGGGTAAAAAGTCCTTTTCCCGGGGTTACTTTCCTTTTTTTTTTTAAAATGCCACTGGACCAGCTTGAGAGTCACGGGTT